TCTTAATCAACTCGTCTTACATTTCGTCCTCTCCAACTTCCTCGACAGTTTGCTACACAGTCGCGTCAGAATCAGCTGCTCGCGCACAGCATGACTGGTTTCTTCGTTGAAGACCGCCCAACCTTCCTGTTTCAAATTCCGCTCTGATTTATTTTTGCGGGCAACATCTACCGACCACGTCTACCGGGTGCTTCGCAGCGGGGTGAGAGCAGGAACGGTGACTTGCGCGTGAGTTAGTTTATAGTGATAGTAGACTTCCGCTGCAATTACCGCACTCTCACCTCCTCACGGCCTGGGCCCGATGTCACGACCAAGTCAAGGAAACCGGAAGCGGGAGAGGGCGCAGGTGGTTGGCACGACAAAAATCCGCACCTAGGCGTACTACCATACCCCTTGCTTCACCACGTACTGTTGCCGTCAAAGCCGTCCGTCAAAACTGCCGAGCGCTCGATCGTCAGAGATGGACTCGTGCAAACGCGTCCTGACAACGCCTCAAGCAAAGATCAGGCGAATTGAACTTCCTCTATTGCACGTTCAGAGGAGTCGACAACCGACGATGTAGCTAACACGGCCTAACGCATGTCCACGTGACATGCGTGATCCGCCGATCGTGAAGGATGTCAACTGATCGTTCCACCCATCTCAGGCTCCTCCGCAGGTATTACCCGTCTGACCCTGTTAGGAGTTAACTTCGGTCCTCGCTTATGGACGTAGGGCGACCCTGCCCAACTCCTATGGAGCTGAGGCCGACCTCCATCGCTACAGTAGACACCTTATTTGCTTTCGGGGTTCGAATAACTCAAGGTAACTCGATTGTCTCAGAGGGCCTTCTGCTGCAGAACGCCTCCGCTTTATCCCGGGCACGTCCACCGGCAATCGCTCAACCGAAGTCAACTTGGACGCAAGCGTGGGTGCGGGTAATTACATCATCTTTACCAATAGAGGAGAAGAGGCGAGCTCCAGGAAACAGCCGTTAAGAAGGAGACACGATCGCTGGGACAAGAGCTTTATTAGTCTGACGTTTCGGATTCCTGCTCGAACCCATCATCAGAGACAAAAGCAGATACGGGTGGTTCATGCACAAGGGACTGCAGTACTTGTAGGATGCAGTCGTCATGCTACCGCATACCTATGAATAGTCACGGTTCCCCCCTTCATCAGGGATCGTTGCACGTGGTGTGATGACTGGTTGATGACCGACATTTGCGTAGTTAATTGCTGCAATTTTATCACGTGCGTTGGATGTTGGTGTGATGATTGCTCGACCATCTGACGCACCGACCCTGGTATTGGGAAAAGTATTCACCTGTGCGCTCCCCGCGTGGCTAATTACTCCGCCTATGCGAAGTTTCAGCACCGAGTATGGAAGGGGAAGTTCATTGCACTTGTTAATGGACTGGGGGCCAGTAAACCATGACTCAAGCAGCTCCCGGCTCACGCGGTTGTCACCTCTTGCGAGAATTTCGGCCCCGTCGAATTCGAATGTGTGGCCGGATCTCGTCGAATGAGGCGCCACTTGAGAGCTGGCGTCATTGCCCCGCACCGCCGCAGCGTGTTCGGCCATTCGCGTTCGGAGCTGTCTTCCGGTTTCTCCGACGTAGTTGCTTTGAGCGCAACTGCACCATATCCGATAAACGACTTCAGACGTTTCTAGCCGTGGCAGCGGGTCTTTTGATTTCATTACCTGACGCCTGATGGTTGCCTCCGCTCTGTGTGCAACTCCAATCCCAAGTGGTGAGAGAAGGCGGCCGACAGCTTCCGAAACGTTCTTGACATATGGAAGCGCTCGCCGAATTTTGGTGCCCGTGCGGTTAGGCCTTTCGTCCCTTTTGCGAATGCACCGGTTAACTGAGTTTCGCGGGTAGCCATTGGCTTTGAAGACCCGTCCGACGGGTCTTCCGACGGGACGCTGAATTGTGCATGAATTAGATTATAGTGAGGCAGACTTGCGCTGCATCTGCAGCACTCTCTCCTCCCTCAGTCGCCTTACTACGACTGCGAAACGCTATTAAAACGACCGGAAATGGACTTGGACGCGGTGGCCGAAAAGTTGAACAACCAGCGTACGCGTACTACACAGTACCTGGCCCCCATTGCATGCAGGGGGGAGCCATAACGGCCAAGATAAGAAGGAACCATTATGGCGTGGCCCTTGTCCAGACTTGTCCCATCGGCTGACAACTTTCCAAGCTAGGGCCCTAACAGCGTCGGGGTGGATTCGAGGACGTCGGGTTTATTATATTGAGGGATGCGCTGATTTGCCGTAAGGATGGATTCTCAAGTGCCAGCATTGCACTCTCTCCCCTCTCCCCTCTCACCAGCCTTCAACCGGCTGGTGATGGGATTTGATGTGGCGGCAAACTGAGCAGCCCGCACACGCGAGTCGTGAGTCAGTCTCATGCTCTTCTTGCTAAATTTGCAACACATCCTGTTCAGGGTGGCAGGCTAATGAAACACGACAGTTCGGCCGTCGCCACCAACGATGCCAACCGTGTGCCCCAGCGCAAGGTGAAGCAGGCAAGGCGACTTGCGCAGCATCTACCGCATCCTCCCCTCCTCCCCCACCTGGGCTCGGTGTCATAACAGATTCGAGAAGACCGGAAGCAGTAAAGGAGGCAGGTTGGTGGCGCGGCCGGAACTGCACCTGGTTGTACTACCCCGCATCCCCTGGTCCACAAAAACACCTTACTGGAGTTATAAACGAACAACAATGGGATTGCGGCAGGAATCCCAATGTGCGCGATGTCAGCCGGCAACTGGGCCTGTCACAGCACCCCGAAATGTCGGCATTTGTTATGGTGCGCATTCCTATAGCGCCTGCCAGAATCCGATATGACCCTCGTGCTGGCCTATCGCATCTACCACGAGGCCATGTTTGGGTGCACTCTTTCCCGTATATGTAGCACTACGCATTAATGTTCAGAGCAGCACGACGGGATGTTGACAAGTTAAAATGTTATGCAAATGCGAACACATCACCTCTCGAGTAAAGCAACGCGACACTTAAACGTGCTTCCACAAACTTGTAAGGGCGGCTGTCTACGTTTTCTCGGCATGGCACATCGCCGTCAGCACACGCCACTGCCGTCTGAAACAAAGACTCGGAGTTCTCTTCTCAAATAGAACCTCGGTGAGGTTTGGCTCTGCAGGCACACTTGATCGATACCATATGATCAGCTTCCCAAAATAATTTTAGTTGATACGAGTACTCCGACTTTGCAAGTATCACGTGTTCGCACCTGCCCTACCATTTTAATACATCGAATGACAGCGACAGGGGAAGGAGTGCTTATACGCCAGCCTCGGTTACTTCAGGTATCAGTTCACACGCGCTTCCCTGCATGTGCTTCAAGCCCTGTCAATCTAAAGAGTGGCTAAGTAGACTTCCTAACGGAATTGTTCGGACGGACTATAACTCCATCGATCCCACTACAATGACCATGCACCGCGAATGGCCACGCGGTCCCCTCCGTAGCCTCCCAGTTGTGACTGCGCCCTTCTTATCCTCTGCGTCCAGAGAGTAGTTATGACTCGGAAAAAATGCGTATATGCCACCTTCACGCGCTTCTCTACGCCTGCTTCGAGTTCTGCTTGTGCCCTCTTTCCCTTCCTTATCCAGCGAATGGCTAAATTACACTGAGTGACCGATCTCATGAAATGATGGCTGAAATTCTAAAATGCGTTTTCGACTGAGAAGGATTACTTAGGCGCGGTTGTAATATCGACTAATCCTACAATATTTCGGACTCGGCAGGATGTCAGCTTTAGAATGCACTGCCTTTTATCTGCTTTAGCAACCGTACTTGGTTAAAATGACTACTTAAGTAGCATTCACTTTTCACGTTGATTTTCGATTGTCTTGCAAATTCAAATATGTTTTAATGGAAACCCCGAACAAAAGTACACTTTCCTTCAGTTGTTTGTTAGAGAATCGCGTCTTCTTTATACTTTATACTGGAAGAAGGAATATAATTAGGCTTCAGAAAATTTACAACTATGAGATTTTTAAGACCGTGAAGTGTCCATTCATACAGCATCGTACCTGTCCGTGTACCACTGCTCCTCATGAAATGTACAACATGGCCCGCATCCATTGCGAAATTTTAAGAACTCTATAAAATATCTTCTTAAAGGCAAAGAAGAATATGCGATTTTCTTTACGCGGAACGCATGCACCTTGTAGACTGAAATCACTAAGCGCTAACGACTGATCAGGCCCCAAATTATTCGGGAATTAGAAAACTTTATTAAAACCCAAGTATATTCCTTTTTCGAGTGCACAAAATAAAGATCACGTGATTCTCTGTCATGCAACTGAAAGAAAGCGTATTTTGTTCGGGGTTTCAATAAAATATATCTGAATTTGCAAGACTCTCGAAAACCAATGGGGAAAATTCATGCTACTTAAGTAGTTAATTTTAGCCAGCAATGTTTCTGCAGGGGTTTGAAAAGCAGTATACTCAAAGGCTGACATCCTGTCGAGTCCGAAATATGATACGATTATGTCGCAAGATAATCAGTATTGCAACCGCACCTAAGTAATCCTTCTCAGTCGAAAACGGATTTCAGAATTTCAGCCAAAATTTCATGAGATCGGTCATTAAATGTAGGTATGTTAATGTATATTGTTTTAGTATGCTAACCATATGCTATCAATCATGTGGGGCTGCAGAACCAAACCTCACCAAGATCTCTTTTTCTCTGGTGTCTTCTTTATTCTCCTGTGGCTCTCACATAAAAATGTGATCACGGAGAATGAACGGCACCAAATGAGGGCAACTGACACCGCTCTAGCTCGATTCTATGGTCTGCCAAAAATCCATTAAGCAAATGTCCCACTTCGAACAATCGTTGCCCTAAAAGGCAGCCCCACCTACAATTTGGCAAAGTGCAAGTACTCAAAACGGAAGTTCCTCCAAGGCAATTTGATTACCTCAGTTCTATCAGCCTCTCAATTCCTCATAGACCTTCGAGGTCGGAGAATTCAATCGGACGAAACCATGGTCTCCTTCGATGTGACGTCGTTATTCACATCCATCCCATCAAAGGTGGGCCGCGAAGTCTTGCGCAAGAGACTTGAAGAGGCGTACGATGTGACTCAGAATGCCCTCAAAATTGAACACCTCATGAGGCTGTTTGAATTCTGCCAACAAACTTTCTTCACTTTTGCGGGAGAGACCTACGAACAAATCAAGGGAACTCCAATGGGCTCACCGGTCTCCGGTTTAGTGGCAGAACTGGTCCTACAGGAGTTAGAAAAGATTGCCTTCCTCCAACATGAACCGGTGTTTTGGCGACGTTACGTTGACGACACGTTCGTCATCGTAAAGAAGGACATGCTGCAACATTTTCACAGCCTGCTCAACGCAGTCTTCCCTGATATAAAATTCACGAGGGAAGAAGAACAGGAACAGCAGTTGCCCTTCCTGGGTGTGCTTGTCAGACGAAACCTTAACGGTGAACTTGAAACGACGGTTTATAGGAAGGCAACGAACACCACACAGCTTCTCAGTATTCACAGCAACCATCCGGTGGCTCAAAACGAAGCTGTGTGAAAACGCTCTTCAAACGCATCTAAACTCATTTCAGCCAACCGGAGGACAGAGCACGTGAGGATCGTTATCTCCGCGACCAGTTTGTGCAAAATGGCTATCCGAGGGTATTCATAAGTTGCTGCCTACGCGGTCGCCACCAGAGAACTTGAATATCAACGCCACCGACGATATGGCATTCTCCGCCATACATCAAGGGTGTTTCAGAAGCGACCGAGCGCATTGCTGCGGAGCTAGGTGTTGGAATTGCACACCGCCCCAAAGCCACCATGCGCAACAGGGTCATGAAAATTAAAGACCGGTTAAAAACTGAAGAGCAATCTGGAGTTGTGTATCGCATTCCGTGTCAAAATTGTCCCTGTAATTACACAGGACATACTGGACGCATGCTCGGATCGCGCATACACGAACATAAGCTGGCTGGGCGACGAGGTGACGCATTATCACAAGTGGCCGTCCATACCTACGAAATGGGTCACGAATTTAACTTTACAGCCACCAAAATAGTCGCCCACGCCGGAAACAAAACAGGCCGAAAATTGATTAAAGCCTGGGCCTCGGATGAGAACTCGGGCAATCGATTTATCGATCTGGCGCCGGCGTACAGAGCCCTGCGTAGTCACCTCCAGGCGTGCGACGTCGGTCGATGATTGGGCCTACGTGCTTTATAACTGCGCTTGTCCTGTTTCTGCCACTACCTCTGATGATGGACTCCTGTACGAGTCTGAAAGCTCAGGACAACAAACCAAGTGTTACGGTGCTCGACTCTTTTTCTTCCCATCTAATGTCCTAAACACTGTATGAAAACCAGAATCTCGAGTGAGTTGGCCACTGCTTATTTACCACATGTTATTTACTAAAATGTTGAACTAAAGTTAGTCCATCTGTGTAACAATACAGACAGGAATAGGGCGAACGAGAAATGGTTTCTTAAGAACGAACTGTTCGACAGTATGATCCGCTCCGATTTTTCTGAATGACTAACCAACGGTTCTGAGCTACTGTTTCTCTCTAAGTACGCCTCTACAAGATCACCCTGGTATTCTGCCATATTCTGTTGGAGGATGAGAAGTTTAGCAATGACTGGACCCAAATTGCTACTTCTCTGTGTCGTCTCAGTTCAGCTGACCGAACACGTATTGTAATGACCGTCTCTCTGCTAGTACCATTCTCAATGCACTACTCAGTACGAGTGAATACGTAATCCGGTCGCCAAATGCCTCCCGTGGAATCTAAGATGGGCATGCACTTTGCAGAAACCCTTATCAGGGCTCACATCTCCTTTCGTAAAAGCCGCAAATCAATAAAACGTACCTTTTTGTGCGCTCCCATTTGCAGGGCACCGTTCTCGTCATTCGGTGGGGGCGGGGGGGCATCCAACTGCGCGACAGACTGCCCAGCTCCCTCTCCCCCCCCCCATCCCCTTCCCCCTGCTGACGCAGTTGCATGCAGAGCATAATGCTGACAGACACGAACCCTGGTCTCGCATTAATAATATTTAATATTTTTTAATGCCACTTGATAGACTTTATCGGTCGGAGCTCAGCATGCGCAAGGGCACGCCAACTTTGGTATCATGAGTTGCACGACAAAACCGGTCCGGCGCAGTTCGAACAGTGATACTTGGAAACTCGCGGGTACTTCGTTTTAAAAAGTTTCAATCTAAGGACTTGGCACAATTGGCTGCTGGCGTTCAGATTTGGTCCTTTGTACTTTGCATATGCAATGTGCTACTCACCACATTCTTAGCAAAGTATCTTAAAGTCCGTGAACAATCTCATGAAATGTTAACTGGGATTCTGAAATGTTTTTTCGATTAGGAAAAACTACAATGAATGACCGATCTCATGAAATATTGACCGAAATTCCGAAATGCGTTTTTGTCTAGGAAGGATTACTTAGGTGCAGTTATAATATGGATTTTAATGCGACATAATCCTATAATGTTTCCTACTCGCCAGGATGTCGACTTTTAAAAGCACTCTTTTTTACCTCCTTTAGGAAACGCACTCGGTAAGAAATGACTGCTTAAGTAGCATGTATCTTTAACATTGATTTTTGATGGTCTTATAAATGCAAATATATTTTATAGGAACCACGAAAAAATATGCTTTCTTTTACTCGTTTGGTGGAAAATCCCGTTGTCTTCAAATTTTTTACCTGAAGAAAGTGTATATTTAGCTTTTGAAAAAGTTTTCAATTATGGGATTTTTAAGACCGTGCAATGCCCATTTATACAGCATCGCACATTTCCGTTTGCCAATGCTTCTCATGAAATGAAGAACGTAGTCCGCATCCATTGCAATATTTTATGAACACTACATGGTATCTGTTCTAAGGTACAGGAGAATATATGATTTTCTTTACGCCGAAAGCAAGCACCTTGTAAACTGAAATTGCTAAAAGCTAATGCAACGGCTGATCAGCCTCAAAATTATTCGGGCATAGAGAAACATTTTCAAAAGCTAAATATACACGTTCTTCAGGTAAAAAAGACAACGTGATCCTCCACCAAACGAATAAAAGAAAGCATATTTTTCGTGGTTTCTATAAAATATATTTGAATTTATAAGGCCATCAAAACTCAACGTGAAAAATACATGCTACTTAAGTAGTCCTTTCTTACCGAGTGCGTTTTATACTGGAGGTAAAAAAGGAGTGCATTCAAAAGTCGACATCCTAGCAAGTACGAAACATTATAGGATTATGCCGCATAAAAATCCATATTATAACTGCACCTAAGTAATCCTTTCTAGACAAAAACGCATTTCAGAATTTCGGTCAAAATTTCATGAGATCGGTCACTCACTGTAGTTTGATAAGACTGCAGTCTCAGTTTGTTCACTTGATTTTGGATGTCTCTATAAAGTCAAATATGTTTTACAGAAGACGCACAAAATGTTTTCTTTTGCACCCATTTGGATGAGGACTGGACATGAAAGTCTGCAGAATGAGTCTACTGAAGTGAATGCAATACGGTGAGGACAATAAAATTAGTTTTATAAATTGTTTAGATGTACGCGGCAACAAAGACAGTCTGTGAGAGGCATCGAGAATGTTCGCATTTCTCCCGTACGCCTGTTTTCTTATTTCAACGAGTTACCGCAGCAGACAGAGCATTTTATAATATGGAAATTAGAAGCGTGCAAACAGGCGAAGGAGAGGTAATCTTAAGTTATCGATCTTAGAAGACCGGACTGGGTAAGATGTTATGCGGTAGGCAAACCTAACCCTAACTCCAGCCCTAACCCTAACATTAATCCTTTCCCTATTTCTAATATTTATCCTACCCCCAGCCGCAAACCTGACTTTGGCCTTAGCCTTAGACTTACTCATTTTACTAAGTTTAACCGGAAACGTGACTCTTATATTATATGGCTACATAAGGCAAACAAGTAAGCATGTTATAGCAACAAACGCTAGAAGCTAACATACTCGATCGCCGCCCTCGTCCGATTTAAAACCTCGTCTTCTCTAAATCCGGTATAGGAGGAAAGAGCGGATTTCTTTTAAAGGGGTCTTTCAACACCCGAATAATTTTGAATCCGACATATCGTTGCATTTGTACTTAACTGTATATTTTTCATGTGAGGAAATTCATTTATTCATTGGTAGGGGGCTCTCACCGATCGTTCTTACGGAACTCACTAGTTCCGTTGTGCCTGACGGACTCTCTCTGGAGCCCAACCAGCAGACGCACAGCAGTTTATGATATAGGCAGTATGTTATTACTGACAAAGACAAGGAAGACTGGAATGGCCATTTCTGACTTTCCAGACGTCGTTAGCTAGTCATGCCCAACCCCGAAGTGTGGAACTGCCAAAGTGTCAGCATTCAGAAATACTTTTTCATCATTTGCATAAATATTATTTTAATGAATAGATTTTTCTTTAGAATTGCCTCCTTGGAGGCGAGAGGTCAAGATTCGTCTTCCCAATCTGACATTACAGTTCAAATTAATCAACTTGCTGATCATGACTCTATCTAAAATTCCCGATTACGAGTTTTCAAAATGAGAATCGGGAACATTAATTCCTCTGGCGAATTTCCCAAATAAAGCTGCGAGCGCTTGAGTTTCCAAAAGATCGGTTTGCTAAAAAAGCACTAAATAAAAAGCGAATTATGGAAAATGCGGCGACCTCTGATTCAATTAAATTACCTAACCAAACTAGAATCCACTAAGTAATTACAGACCTAAACTGGTGGCCAAGGGAAATGTGCCCATTGTGATAGAATCAGCGCATTCCATAAGCTGCAGGAGATAAGGTTTGTAAATCACTAAAACTACGAATGCACCCCCAACCTAAGTTTATATTCTTGATCGAAACCGTGAGTATAAGGGAGTGCGCGGATTTGTTTATAAAGCGGTGGACTTAACAACGTCCAACGGCCGAGGAACGAGACTTTTTTGACTCATAAGCAGCAGAACGAGGACTTGGATAGGAATCGCTGACGACAGTTGATGAGTCACAATTGACCCTTCCAGTCCCCCCTGTCTTTCTTGGGATTCTTTTCAACATACCTACCTGATCGGTAAACGCACGTCTAACACCGAAATGTCCTTCCCTTTCTGGCACGAGTTTGAACCCACTCAGCGATATTTAAAATTTCGTACACATTTGAACTGTTCAAGTCTGCTAAAGAATCTTTTCATTATCTTCCAATTATCTGATGAGCACCGATGGATATACTGCCAATTTTATTCATAATAATAACTAGTGACTTGCGATCAATTTGGATATCAGTAGTTTGTGAAGTGGAAAGTTATTCTCAGTTCACCTGGTCCTATGTCATCAACATATGTTCCTGGTCGGTTGCATAATGGCACTACCGACAAAGACGTCTTTTTAATGGAATAGAATAATAACTTAATTGGCAGGATATTATTACCGGCAAAGTCAACGGAAGACTGGAATGGTCATTACTGGCTTATTAGCCATCGTCAATCGCTCACACCTAACCTCGAAGTGTGGAACACTCGAGGCTCGAACTCGCGACCCCTG